GGGAAATACGATGGTTAATGATAATCATCCGACTCTTCCTTTCGTGAACACACAGACATTATTCTGTGATAAGGTTGGGTCAATACCTTAGCCATCAGCTGTTGTGTTGACCTCGAGACCCAAGCTAATGAGGGAGTGACGTGTGTGTGGGATCTGAGAAAGACAAGGGAGAAAGAGAGAAAGAGAGAGAGGGAAAAAGAGAGAAGGGCACGGGAGAAAGAGAGAGAGAGAATGGGGTACAGAAAGAAGGACACGATAGAGAGAGAAAGAAAGAGTGGGGAAAAGGGAGAAATAAATAAAGAGAGAGTGGGGAAAAGAGAGAAGGATGCGATAGAGAGAGAAAGAGAGAGTGGGGAGAAAGAGAAAGACAAGGGAGAAAGAGAGAAAGAGAGAAGGACACGGGAGAGAGAGAGAAAGAGAGAATGAGGTACAGAGAGGACACGGGATAAAGAAGAAAGAGAGGGGAAAATAGAGAAGGACACGGGATAAAGAGAGAAAGAGAGAGTGGGGAGAAGAGAGAAGGACACGGGAGAAAGAGAGAAGGGGTATAGAGAGAAAGAGAGAGAGAGGGGAAAAGAGAGAAGGACACGGGAGAAAGAGAGAAAGGGGTATAGAGAGAAAGAGAGAGAGAGGGGAAAAGAGAGAAGGACACGGGAAAAAGAGAGAAAGAGAGAGAGGGGAAACAAACAAGCATGCAAACAAGCCCCACGTCTCTGGTCCTCACCTGGGAAGACGACACCAGATGGCGCTTGTCGTTGCACCAGTCGGAGCACAGCACCTTCCCCTGGTGGCCCTTCAGTACCCGTCGGGGTTTGATGTTGAGGGGAGGGAGGTTCTCGAGGCGCGCCGCCACCGTCGTCACTGGGGGGAGGAGGGGGGGGGTCAGTACACACGGGTTTAAATATTGGGTTTCGAGTATTTTGATTTAGCATTTTGTTGTGTATGCTTCTATGGGGGGGAGGGAGGGAGGAAGCAAGAAGGCTTTTTTGTTATTTTATTACTGTTATTATCATTATTGTTGGTGTTGTTACTATTATCATCATTGTTGTTATTATTATTGTTGCTATCATTATTACCTTTTACTACTGCCATTATTAACTTCATCATTATTATTACCATTACAATTTTTGTCTTCATCATTATTACTTTGCGGTGCAAGGGAGAGAGGGAAGGAAATGTTTATTTGTTTGTTTTATGTTTGTTTCATGGGGTGGGAGGGGCAAGGCTTCCTGTTTTAGTGAATAATGTAACGGTGTTAATAGGACAAGAACGCTTTATGAAGAAAAAAAATCCAATTTATTGATATGTGAGAGATTATCATTTGTAGGTGCTGTAGGTGAGATAAAATTCAGTTTAATTCGACGTCAAAATTTTCATATTGCTTCATGACCCCAGATAGTATGGTGTTTGTAAATATAGATTGATGTTTACGTGCACTGGGAATGTTGGAATCTGCAAGTCTCATATATTTTTGTTATTTGTATCAATATCGTCAATATCGTGATGTATGATTATAATGTTCATTATGATGATAATCATAATGATAATAATAACAATAATAATAACACCAATAACAATAATGATAATAGTAGCAATTATAGTAGCAGTATTAGTAGTTATGATAAAAGAATAGTAATAATGACAATTAAAATTATAGTAATAACAATAATGATAATGATAATGATAAATAATAATAATAATAATAATAATAATAATAAAATAATAATCATAATAATAATATAATAATAATATAATAATATAATAATAATAATAATAATAATAATAATAATAATAATAATAATAATAATAATAATAATAATAATAATAATAATAATAATGATAATGATAACAATAATAATAATAATCGTAGTAATAATGATAAAAATAATGAAAATGGCAACAATGATATTGATAATGATATAATACCAATGATAATCATAATTATAATGATGATGACGAGGATGATAGTAAAAAATTATAAGAAGAACAACAACAATAACAACAACAGCGATAATTATAAGGATAGTAATAACAACAATAATAACGATAGTTATAATAACAATGATATTTAAACTAATAATAATAATAGTAATAATCTTAAAGATGATGGCAATAATATGATATACTATAATGATAAATATAGCAATAATGATAATGATATCAATTTCAATAATACCAATAGTAATAATAATACCAATAACAATACCAATGATAATGATAATAATAATAATAATAATAATAATAATAATAATGAATAATAATAATAATAATATAATAATAATAATAATAATAATAATAATAATAATAATAATAAAAATAAAAATAATGCCAATGGTAATAATGCCAATAATAATAATGATAATAATGATGATAATAATAATAATAATAATAATGATAATGATAATAATAATGATAATAACAACAATGATAGTATTAGTAATAATGATGGTGATAACAATAAAAGTTATAACAATGATGATAATGATAATAGTTTTCATAAGAGTAATGAGAATAATAATTATCATAATAATTAATAATAATTAATCATCATTTATCATAATAATAATGATAATAACAATAATAACAATCATAATAGTACTACTAATAATAACAACAATAAAATTGATGGTAATGATGATAATAATAAAAATGACCATGATAATAATAATGATAATAACACTACGATTACTAGTAATAGTAATGATAATAATAATAATAATCATAATGATAACAATGATAATTAATGATAGTAATAACAATAATGATAATGGTAATAATAATGATAACGAAAACATTGATAATGCTGAAAAGGCTGTTAATCTTAATCATTGATAATAATAATAAGACGAATGATAATGATAACAATCATAATAATTATGATAGTAATAACAACAACAACAACAACAACATAATAAATGATAATAATAATGATAATAATAATAAATAATAATAATAATAATAATATAACAATAATAATAAATAATAATAAATAAATAATAATAAAATAATAATAATATAATAATAATAATAATAATAATAATAATAATAATAATAATAATAATAATAATAATAATAATAATAAAATAATAATAATAATAATAATGATAATAATAATAATAATAATAATAATAATAATAATAATAATAATAATGATAATGATAATGATAATAATAATAATGATGATGATGATGATAATGATAATGATAATAATGATAATAGTAATGATAATGATGATAATAATTATAAGAATAGTAATAACGAAAGTAATGATAGTAATAATAACAATGATAATAGAAATAATAGTACTAATTACACTAGCATTAATAATGATAATGATATAGATGAAAATAATTATAACAATGAAAATAATGATAATAACAAGAATACTGATAAACATGATAATAATAACAAAGATTATTATCATTACGATTAATTTGTGTTTGAAACTTGAAGGGTCGAGTTTGAATGAAATGTACAATAAACAAATACAAAAACAGGAAAACATGATAGAGGTAAACAACAATAACAACAAAAAAGCCGAAAACAAAAATAATATGAATGACAGACAAAACAATATATAAAAGAACGGTACTATTGTTCAAGTTAATGAATTCCATACGAAATACCGGCAGTGGAGCGGATTCAAAGAGATTGTAACGTGAATCAACAAGGAAGTGATCAGCTGGGAAAAGAAGATGGAGCAAAAACAAAACAAAACAAAGCAGAGTAAGAAGTCATGGCAGATATCTTTTTGTTTGATTGTAGGAAGGGGACAAGGTACTCTGTGTATCATATTGTTCAGTTTCCCTTTCACGTTAAATGTATGTATACTGGAAATATACACAGTTTACACACACACACACACATATATATTATATATATATATATATATATATATATATATATATATATATATATATATATATATATATATATGTGTGTGTGTGTGTGTGTGTGTGTGTGTGTGTGTGTGGTGTGTGTGTGTGTGTGTGTGTGTGTGTGTGTGTGTGTGTGAGCATGTGTGTGTGTTGCGTGCGGTATGTGTGTATGTGTATGTGTATGTGTGTGTGTGTGTGTGTGTGTGTGTGTGTGTGGTGTGTGTGTGTGTGTGTGTGTGTGTGTGTGTGTGTGTGTGTGTTGTGTGTGTGTGTGTGTGTGTGTGTGTGTGTGTTGTGTATATAATATATATATATATATATATATATATATATATATATATATATATATATACATATATATATATATATATATATATATATATATATATATATATATATATATATATATATATATATATATGCGTGTGTACATACAAATCGCAGACTCACGCGGGACATCGTTGAGCTTCTGCCTCTCCTCCTCGAGCTTGACCTTGAGTCCCTCCGCCTCCCTCGAGAGCGCCTCCACGCTCTCCATGGGCTGCTCCACCTTGAGTCCTCCTTCAGACATCCTGGGCCCGTCGCTCGCCCTTCCACCTCACGCCTTCACTCTCTCCCGTAGGCCTATGCACTCAGTTTTTTTGTTTTTTTCCCGATAGGCGTAGGCTGAGGTTCACGTGTGCTTGGGACTGCTTTTGTGTGTTGTCCGCTAGTTATTAGAGTCCTTCTGTAACCATATTTCTGTTAGATTTTCCACCTTATGTCTTTTCACTATTTATGCGCAGTTCGTAAAGTGATGAATACAGGGCATAGATCAAGGAAGTGATAAATACAGGGGAAAGGACATGGAGGCGATAGATATATGTGATAAATAAAAGGCAAGGAACAAGGTGGTGATGAATATAGGGAAAAGAACATGGAGGTGAGAGGCACAGGTGGTAAAGAAGAGGCAAAGAACAAGGTGATAAATATAGGGAAAAGAACATAGAGGTGATAAACACAGGTGATAAAGACAGGGCATAGAACAAGATGAAAAATGCTGGTAATAAATATAGAGAAAGGAACAAAGGTGTGATAAATACAGAGAAAAAACAAGGTGATAAATATAGGGAAGAGAACAAGGATGGGGTAATTGTAGGGAAAAATATAGAGGTGATACATAATACAAGTGATAGATATAGAGAAAAAACGAGATAATAAATACAGGGGATAACTGAAAAACAAACAAGAAAGTGATAAATACAAAGAAAAGAACAAAAAAAGGTGATAGATACAGTGAAAAAATATATGATACAGAGAAAAAAACAAAGAGGCAATAAACACAGAGGAAAGAACAAGATGATAAATACAGAAAAAAACAAGGTGATAAATACAGAAAAAGCAAGGTGAGGAATAACGAAGGAGGTGAGACACAGATAAAAGAACATTTGATAAACACAGATAAAGGAACAAGGTGATAAACACGAGAGAGAAGAACAAGCGGTTGAGAAACACGAGAGAAAAAGCAAGGTAATAAATATAAGGAAAAAGGGAGTGGAATGAAGTACAAAAATTGATATGCTGCTTATCCTGTATTTTGCGTAAATCACGAAAACCGCCCTTATAAACAGCTGCAACTGATTAGCAGCATAATTAACACGTACATCTTGTTCATTAAGGTCGTCTCATTAAGTGATGGATGCGTTCCCTGATAAGCTTAATTACGTTTTTGCTTTCTGTTTGATAATTATGAATGTTTGCTTTCGTCATGGGTATATTTTTTCAATATCAGATTTTGGGATTTTTAGGTTAACATTGAGAAAACATTTAGTATTTCGTTGATATGCAGATTTTCTACCATTAGGCATAAATTTGTTTGAGATAAACATACTAGGTATATATGACACCTAGTTTTTTGTTCGTATTTAGATTAATGTGGATAATATACCCGGACACGAGATTTATCTTTATCATTTTCTAGTACAGGGGGTCCTCGACTTACGACGGAGATCCGTTCTTACGATGGCGTCGTAACCCGAATTTTGACATTAGTCGGAACACACCTAAATATAGAACATGTACGTACGTATATAAGCACCGAAGTCACTCACATATGCTAATGCAGTATTAAAGTCATAATCAAAAACATAACATACTTCTGTGACGTGCATGAAAACATAACTAGGGCTAAAGGAACACATGGAAAACAAACTAAATACTGTACATGATTTCTAGTGTCGTATCCACGAAACGTCGTAAGTCGAGACCGTCGTAAACCGAGGACCCCCTCTATCTATTATTTCTGTATCTTAAAATCCATTTCTCTTTCGGATATCTATGGGATGAACCGTGTTATCACTTCTTCAGAAATGTTCAGTTATCCCTCTGAACGGAAATACGTTGTGATACGAGAACCGACGTCTCATCCGGTCGGTTTCGCCCGCGGGTTAGCTCTCGACTGTCACTCGTTAAACACGGCCTCTTCTCGTTCCAGTTGGATTACTAGTCGAGTGTTGAACTGTTACGTAGACAATTTAAACAATGTAATCTATGTGGAATGTAGCTTGCAGTCCGGTGTGCAATATTTCACTCATTCATATCAATGTATCTTCAAAAACACACTTATTTTATACACAACATAAATCATGTAAATTCGCTATTTACATTAACGAGTAATAATCATTAATAAATTGGCAATACACGCCTGAACAGAGGGAAACGAACTAAATCTGGTACCGATACGAAATGTTCATAAACAGAAATTTACATTTAGGTTTGATTTACTTCATTAAGCGTGAATATAGTTTTATGTACGTGCTTGTGTATGCTGGCGTTTGTTTATGCGGTGTTTGTGATGGATGAGCACATGTACCGACGATCTGTAAGCATATAATAAAGTACATGTGTCGTTAGGTGAATTGATGAGTTGATGAATTTTAGGCCTCTTGTGGTGGCTTGCTACTTGGCCTTTGAATGACAATTGTTTTCTTGGTTATTCCTTTTCTGTGTCTGTCTGTCTATCCGTCTATCTGTCTGTCTCCGTTTCTGGCTATGTTTCTGTCTGGCTCTCTCTGTATCTGTCTATCTGTGTGTCTGTCTCTGTCTCTCTCTCTCTCTCTCTCTCTCTCTCTCTCTCTCTCTCTCTCTCTCTCTCTCTCTCTCTCTCTCTCTCTCTCTCTCTCTCTCTCTCCCTCTCTCTCTCTCTCTCTCTCTCTCTCTCTCTCTCTCTCTTCTCTCTCTCTCTCTCTCTCTCTCTCTCTCTCTCTCTCTCTCTCTCTCTCTTCTCTCTCTCTCTCTCTCTCTCTCTCTCTCTCTCTTTCTCTTCTCTTTCTCTCTCTCTCTCTTCCTCCTCGTCTTCCTCCTCCTCCTCTTCCTTCTCCCTCTCCCTATCTGTCTTTGTCTCTGCCTCTGTCTCAATCTCTCTCTCTCTCTCTCCCTCTCCCTGTCTGTCTTTGACTCTGCTGTCAATCTCTCTCTCTCTCTCTCTCTCTCTCTCTCTCCTCTCTCTCTCTCTCTCTCCTCTCTCTCTCTCTCTCTCTCTCTCTCTCTCTCTCTCTCTCTCTCCTCCTCTCTCTCTCTCTCTCTCCTCTCTCTCCTCTCTCTCTCTCTCTCTCTCTCTCTCTCTCCTCTCTCTCTCTCTCTC